CACACACACACACACACACACACACACACACACACACACACACACACTTTGTATCTTTAATTTATCATGAGCTCACCATTAGCATCATTAAAGTGAAAAAAATTACTACCTGAATTTTTTACTTCTACCATTCTTTAGGTCTGAACAAGGTCAAATATACAAGTCAATGGGGAGATGGCTATTATGCTATCTAATAGTTTTCCTATGTTGAGATGGGAAGCACAAATTGGACCAGACAAGTTTTAAAGAAGTATCTGTAGGACTAACTTAACTGCCCTAAGACTAACTCTGCAAAGCTCCCTCCCTGAGGCAGCTTCTACACCAGAGAGAGATGGTAGAACAAGAGCCAGCTTAGCCCCTCCTCCCTCTCTCTGCTCTTTGATTTGAGATCGGACTTTTTGCTCCTGCAAACACTTGGGCCACAGTGTGATACCAGCTGCAGCACATTAAATAGGTCCCTAGATTTTAAATCTTGAACCTACCAAATTGTGAGCTAAATAAACCTATTTATTTATTTATTGTGAACTGCCTGCCTTAGGTGTTTCATTATAATGACTAAAAAACACTCTCTTTTCTTTGGTTGCACTAGCTTAATTAAACCAAAATTTTGTTATTTTCAAATCCTACATATTCTGGTTCTGTAAAATTATAGCCGAGCATTGTCAAAGAAAGACATGAAATCATACTGATGGATGTCTCACCCTCAATTTAAAATGGGATTTTCATCTGTCAGGCAGTTATACTCAGTGCCCCCAAGTCAACTATGTTCCAGTTGCCAGTATGTCTCTCCCCAAGACCCATCAAATCCTCCCTACATTCTCCCTCTCCACCTTAACATTCAGAGTCCTGAGTAGAGGCCCCTTTGATGTTCTATTCTGTAAGCTACACTTATTTCCTTCATTGTTTATGCATGTTCTATATGATGATGGTCTGCAATTCATTAACAAATGTGGATCTACCTTCAAAATATATTCAGAACCCAACATTTTACCATATCAACACCTTGGCACAAATTATCACCATTTGTGATATTGCTACTGACATTGCTACTTTCACACAACAGTTTAGGTGACTCTTTTAACTGTAATCCAGTTTATACTATTCCTTGCTCAAATCAACCATGAAATGGGCCTTCATTTCCCTCAAAACAAAACCCACCCAAATAAATCCTTAAATGTGCATTCCCTATGGCCCACACCCATCCCTACCTCTGAACTCTGCCCCCTGCTATGCAGCCACCCTGGCCTCCTGGCCCCTTCTCAACATGCCACACTCATACCTTCAGGTCCTTGATCGTAGTATTCCCTTTGCCGGGAAACCTCTCTCACTTATCTGACGGGCTAGGTTCTCAACCACAAGCTCAAATGTGGCTGACTTAAGCTTCTCCCTGGCACAGACTTTTATGATCTAACCCCTTCTTGCCAGTTTGGCCTTCCCTTTATCTACAGCAGATACTGATAACTTTCTACTGTACACTACGATACTCTACTGTTGTGTCCCAAGTCTCTGGACCAGAGTCTGAACAAGAACAGGCTCAGTAAATATGTACAGACAAAAGGAAGCCTGAAATTAGGATATTAAAGGGAGCCCAGATTCTAGGCTTGCAACTGTTT